GCTGCAGCGCCTGGCGCTTCCTGCCTCTGAGCGCCTTCTTCCGTTGCTCCCTTGAGTGCCCTCGGCCAAACCGTGAGGTCTGTGCGGTATCATTACTCCACCTTGCAAAGACAGGTGAAGTGACTTGTTTTATTAGGTCTCAGTACTGGTAAAAGGTGTGGGGTTGGAACCTGGGGACCCTGAACCCTAACACTCATTATGTCTGCAAGGCTGCCCTGACCTCCCAGCCTCTGTTCGGGTTAATGGGCCTACCCTGCTAGTCTGTGACTTTCCAAGTGACTCAGTACAGGTAAGGTCCCTGTCAAGGCTGTGTGACTTGTTGACATTGGACCTTAAAGGTAGCAGCTGCGGAATGAATGGGCCATAGCTTCTGTGCGCTCCAGGGTGGGCCTGGGCCTACAGGCTGGCTGTCAGCCTGCCTGAGTGCAACAGCCGCTGAGTGACCCAGGACTTATTTCCCAAGGCTGCCTTCGGGTCTCCTCCCACCTGGGGAGGTGTTCCTGGAACCACAGGGAAAAGAGGCAGGCCCAACCGACCTGGGTCATCCAGTGCCCTTTAGCTAGTGTGGGCCAGGTGCCTCCAAGCCTGACCTCTGGGGAAGATGGGAACAGTGGGCAGCCCCAAATGTTCCCCCAGCCTAGGACCACACAGGTATTGGGGGTTGTGCCCTGAAGAACTCCAGACCCCTGCTGTAAACTGATTTCTACTGAGGCAGCCTTACTGCCTCTTAGGTCAGGGAAACACAACTGCAGCCTGTCTGGCAGTGCAATGCTGGGCACAGAACAGTTTATGTTAAACAAACAAATGTGAGCTCTGCGCTCAGGCTGCCTCACCAAGGACCTCCCAGGCTTCTGGGAGCAGTAGTGAGGGGGAATAGGGAGAAGTTGGGGACTGGGAGCTCTACCCTGACTGCTCATGGGGCCCCATCAAGGGCTGTACAGTTTCAGATCCGTGGGCTTTCAGTCTGCCAGACACCTCTGCCTAGGAGTTCAGCAAAAGTAAACAAAGCATCTTGTCCTCTAACCTATTCTCCTTGTTCAGGGTCCTTAGTAGAGGAAAGTGGCACCTCTAGCTGTCTGATCTCCCTCCATTCCTCACCTCCAATACTCACCACCTGCTATAACCTCACCTCTTCCTACATCGCTGCTCCTTTCCTAGACCAACACAGCGCCTTCTAACTGGCCTCCCTGCCTTCCTCCCACAGATCCGTTTCCCCACACTAACAGTGTATTTACAAATGCAAATCAAAGCAACGGACATCTGTTAAAAGAGTAAAGGTTTACAGGCACCCTCCATGTGCCAGGCCCATGATTCACACCCACTGCTTCTTGCCAGGGCCCTGAATACAAATCCCTGCGGCCCTTCCTGTCCTCAGGTTACCCCACTGTTCCTGTATTCCTGGGTGACTGCACGGCGGCCCTCTCCAGTCCCTTTCTCCCAGTCCATGCTACCACACAACACACACAGCCAAGAGGAGTCATTTGCACCCTGTCACAGCCACCAGTCACACTGGCTCTCTAAGCTTCTGTGCCTTTGCACCTGCAGCTTCCTGGCCAGCACCCTCTCCTCCCCACCTCACTGACTCTTAAGTCATCCTTGAAGACTCAGCTCAGGTATCACTTCCTCCAGAACCCCTTACTGACTCCCCCAGCACACTGTCCAGTGTTAACACATCAAGCATTAATCCTGTTTCCTAGTTAGTCTCTTCCAGGAGACTTCTCCAGCCCCCGACATACGCCCAGCTAGGTACACGGTGGGGGGCTCATAACCCTCTTGGGGATGCCAGCATGAATGAATGAATCTCAGAGCCTAGGAGTGTGAACGCGAGGCCCGAGTGAGCTGGGAGCTGAATAAGGCCCTGGGCCAACCATTCATTCTCATTCATCTCTGAGCCCCGCACCGGTCACACTCGCACGCGCGGAGGCATGCAGGGGCCACTGGCGTGGCTGGGCTCGAGAGGCGGAGAACGGGAAGGGGCGGGGCTCAGGCGCCTTCTCCGGAACCCAAAGGCAGAGCAGGGCTGCGGGAGGGGCCCAAAGGGCGCGCAGGGTGTCCTGCGTTTCGCGACCCAAGTAGTTCTTTCCAGACCTCACCTTACCCGCGAGTAATTAAGGTCCCCACCAGACTGAGTCCCTCCGCCTTCGGGTCCAGGGACCCCCTCACAGGCTGGGCAGATTGATCCTTGGTTCCAGCGATCCCGGGCGGACGACCCCTGCCTCTCGGCCGGTAGCTTCGGGCCCTGCTCGGCTCCTGGCCGCCTGCCCTTTCCCCCAACCCCCCC